TCCCGGTAGGGTGAAACCTTGGGTAAGTTTCCTTACTCCACACACCTGATAGCAATCCCTCAAGAAAAAATAAATAAAATAATAATTTGGTCACTTCAATCCACATCTGTTTGTGGGACGCTGCTGTGCACAATTGGGGCTGCGTTTTGCCCACAAATATACAGTCAATTCACTTTACTGTATATTCTGCGAAGCGATTTGAGACGTCTAGAAGGCATGGAAAGTGCTGTATCTAATGCAAAGATTATTATTATTATAAGACCCTCCTCTTCAAACCCACCTTCGGTCACCCTCCTACCCTTACCCTCCCAGCCCCTAGCCGGGGTCCCATTCCCTGACTGTCCAGTGCCTTGGGATGTCCTCCCGACATGAAAGGTGCCATACAAGTGTAATTTGTTGTTGTTGAGTTTGGATCATTCAAAAAACAACAGCAGTACAACAGATAGCACTCTCTTGTAACCTAGCAAGCAGTGAGTACCTGAATACCTACAGGAAACCACATACACCACAACTTTAAGAAGTTTAAAAAGCTGAAAAATTGCAGCAGAGGAAAAACAGGATCAGGTTCAGATGAGACAAGACAAACAGACAAAATCATTCGCATGAATTCTTCCATTGTCTGTGAATCACACACGCAGAATGTGAAGATGTGCAATCCATTTCTAAAAGAACAAAAATAATAGTTTTGAAAGAATTATTTCATGCATTGACTGATTTGAGTCTCACCTCAGCAAGAGTAATGCTTATCAATTGTTAGTACATTGGAAAAAGAGCAACGGTTAAGACTAATGACATGTTTGCACCACATCCTGTTTTGATGAAGTATAGAGATGCTGGTTTGATTTAAATGATATACAAACCGGAGATTAGAGACTGTGGGTGCAAAGACCAATGATGAAAACGTGTCTGAAATGTTCTGTTTAATTTGAATGTATCTTTAATGTGCTGCCCTCTCCTTATCTTCTAGCTCCATCTCCTTGCTCACCTATTAACAACCGCCGTCAAACTCTCTCTGTCCACTGGCACCATTCCAAACCCCTTAAAACAGCCGTAATAAACACCACCCTCAAAAGACCTTCCCTTGATCCATCTCTCTTCTCAATCTACCATCTCATCTGTAACCTTGCAATGCTTTCCAAGCCCCTCCATCGTGCCCCTCCCTTGTCTCCTTCAAGGCCTGTCCCAAGATCTTCCTCGATCATCCTCCCATCTCCACCCTCTCGACTCCACCTCTGATCTCGGATGCAAACCTTCACTGTCAGCACCTTGGGACATCCTCCCAAGGTGAAAGGCGATATATAAATGTAATTTTGTGTTGTCATTTTGTATGGTACATCCCGGTGTGTATGAATGGTGTTTACAATAAGGGAGCCAATGAATTTCAACTACAAGTAAAAATTACAATGAAACATGAAGAACATTTATTTCAAAACACAAAGAGTAAAAAAAAACTGATACTTATGTCACCACTGACCCGCTTTTGCCAAGTGGCCAAATGGATTTGAAACCTACTCGGTTCTCATATATTTTTGTGAGTAATTTTATCCAGGAAAAAACACGACAAAGAAAAGATTGGCTTCCAAAGCACATTGTGGCCTTTGGTGTTCTGCAGGGCTTTTTTTAAAAAAAAACGAGATTAATACAAACCTCGCTTCACCTTGCAATGTCATCCAAGTTACTCTGAGGAGAGTTTGGCACAAAATGTTCTCATTTAAACCACTCTTCCCATCATGGGGAGAAAATGTTACTCAATGGCTACTCTATTGCTCCTCAGTGTCTGCAGAAATAATCTGGGCAAGATACCCATTTTCTGTTACTTTGCACTTTGGCTCATTTAAGAACTCCAGCCTCCAATATATACAGTTTAACTTGTCGCTACCTCAATTGACATGGTTTCAACTGAGATAGACTTGGGCTGAACAGCAGAGGCCTGACAATTCCCATGTTCTTTAAGCCTTGAGATCAAGATCTTAAACTTTATGATGGTGCAGAATTTTCTGAACAATTCCTAAATTCAGTCTCTGTTTTGGAAGCCGTTTTTTTGCATTTCTTAAAAGCAATCTGCAGAAAGTTGGCTTCAAAATTAAAATTATGCACATCATAAATTTGAAGACAATGGTCTCAAGGCTAAGACCGTGAGAAATTTCAGGGCCCACAAGCTCTTTATACTTTCAGACAACTTCATTTTCAGTGGGATCCTCACTCATTACATCGTGGAGTCCTGTAGCTCAGTGGTTAGAGCAGTCGCTTTGCAAGTGAGAGACCTGAGTTCAATTCCAGGCAGAGGGCGAAACCTTGGGCAAGTTTCCTTACTCCACACAGAGCCTAATAATAATCCTCCAAAACCAAAAACAATAATAAATTGGTCATTTTCAATCTACGACTGTTTGTGGGACATTGCTGTGCGCAATTGGCTGCCGCGTTCGCCCACAAATATACAGTCAATTCACTTTACAGTGTGTTCTGTGAAGCGCTTTGGGACGTCCTCCCGACGTGAAAAGCGCTATATCAAATGCGAGGATTATTATTATTATTATTATCATTGTGAAAAGAGCTAGAGTTAAAAGTCTTGTCTGAAGTCGAATTCGGAACACTCTTTCCATCTCAACATTTTGAGATTGAAAAAAAGATAATTGGGTTCAAATGTGAATATTAAATGTGACGATAGCCCAAAGACTGTGTGGAGTTTTGTTCTGGAAAGAGTGGTCTAACATTGCTTTTAGGGAAGGTTCAAACCTTTTAATTACATTGCCAATGCTGGGCTAACACACAAATCGCACATTAAGCTACACCGTGTGCAACTTCTTAAATGTTAGACTGCTGATTGCTGCAGTATTATTTCAGCAACAGCTAATGCCTTAGTATAACATCTAGCCCAGCCCAGGGTGCTTTAAGCAGGGGTTACCAAACGTAAATGACACCTAATAGTTCCTACGCTGTGAAAAAAAATACCCAGATCTCAGCAACTCTGAAAGTGTGAAAAAAAATGTTTCAGTTACTTTACATTCTACGCCCTTACAAATAACGGAATCACATTATCACATTATCCATCTGCACATGAGTTTCAATATGAATCAATTGGCGCTTCATTAATGTTATCAGAATTCTGCTTTTCTGATAGAACGATTATGTTTTTATGGTATCTTTGGTTGAAGGCAGAATATCTAGCTAACTCTTCCATGTAAAATAGTCCGATTAATATGTAGATTTCCTATCCGTTTGCTGCTTTTTTGGAAGGGAGATATTGACAGACAGATAGTATATAATCCAAACCGTGTAGACTTTATCTAGTAATCTGGGCTAGCAATTATATCGAAATGAGTACTGTACTTAAATCATGCATTAGCATTGAGAGTAGTAATGACAGCTTACTAATGACAGTAGCAAGACAAATAACTTTCTACTCAACAAAAATACAATTGTAAAAAGGAACTCAATGCAAGATTCATTATAGGAATGGGCTCTTATCCATTTAGCCCTTTTTACATAGAATTACATAGAATACACAGCACAGAAACTGGCCATTCGGCCCAACTGGTCTATTCCAGCATCTATGCTCCACATGAGCCTCCTCCAGCCCTTCCTCAACTAAACCTATCAGCAGAACCTTCTATTCCCATCTCCCTTGTGTACCTATCCAGCTTCCCCTTAAATGCATCTATGCTATTTGCCTCAACTACTCTTTGTGGCAGCAAGTTCCACATTCCCACCACTCTCTGCGTAAAGAAGTTTCTTCTGATTTCCCTCTATTTGATTTATTGGTGACTATTTTATATTTATGGCCCCTGGTTTTGGCCTCCCCCCACAAGTGGAAACATCTTCTCTATGGCTATAGAGACACTTTTCATAATTTTAAAGATCTCCATTAGGTCACCACTCACCTTTCTCTTTTCAAGAGAAGAGTCCAAGGTTGTTCAGCCTTTCCTGATAGGTATAACCTCGCAGTTCTGGTATCATCCTTGCAAATCTCCTTTGCACCTTCTCCAGTGCCTTTATATCCTTTGTATAATATGGGGACCAGCACTGTGCACAGTTCTCCAAGTGTGGTCTAACCAAGGTTCTATAGCAGTTTATCATAACTTCCCTGCTTTTCATTTCTATCCCTCTAGAAGTGAACCCCAGTGCTTGGTTTGCTTTTCTTATGGCCTTATTAACCTGCGATTTGTGTATCCGTGCCCCTAGATCCCTTTGCTCCTCTAGCCCATTCAGATTCTTATTTTCTAGGCAGTATGTGACCTCCTCATTCCTCCTACCAAAATGTGTCACCTCACATTTATCTATATTGAAATTCATTGACCAATTAAATGCCCATTCAGCGAGTTCATTAATGCCCTGTTGTAATTTGTTACAGTCCTACTCAGTATTAACTACACCCCCTGCAAATTGGTGTCGGCCGCAAATTTTGAAATTGTACTTTCAATCCTTGAGTCCAAATTGTTAATGTAAATTGTGAATAACAGTGGGGGGAGGGGGAGGTGGCATAAGCACGGTTGAAGAGGAAGGTTTTCAGGTGGGACTTGATAAAGGGGGAGAGAGGGGGCAAGGCGAAGGGATTGAGGGAGAGTGTTTCAGTACAGCAACAACACTGTACATCAATCCAGTACAAATAGTTAGGTCCTCTCTTGATGTATAGCTGCTCAGGGAATGTGTTGGGTGCAGAATCCTGCAAAGGTCAAAGTTTTAGAAGCATCCATGAAGTGGTATAGGGTTTGTAAACAGCTAGACCATGGCGTGGGAGTAGGGGTGATATCTAAGTATATTACAGTCGTGGCCGATATCTAAGTATATTACAGTCGTGGCCACAGACACACAAAGTGGTTTCTAGCAGGTAGTGATGAGGAGTAGGAACACTGGCTGAGGTTTTCCCTTCCCGAGATCAGAGAGACAATAATAATACCTTCATTTGATATAATGCCTTATCACGTCATTGAGATGTCTCAAAGCACTCAAAGTAAACAGAGGTGTGTGGAGTAAGGAAACTTGCCTAAGGTTTTGTGCCGGGAATCAAACCCAGGTTTTGTCGCTTGCGAGGCGAGAGTGCTACAGTAGGAGGGTCAGCAGAAGCGAGCAAGTACAATAGGAAACTTATAGCAGCACATAGCTGAGTAGACTTTCTTATAGCTTGATGTTAGCTTTGCAAGTACAGCCTGAGGTTCAAACCTAGGGCATTGCAATGCTTCCCAGTTTCACTCAAGGCAGTGGCTTTACAAAATGAGCCGCTGTGAGTGGAACCTAGAAGTGCTTTGAAAGGCCATGTGAATTTATTGCTTGATGTACCCCACCCTCAACATTTAGTTCCCAATAATGTTGTTTACAATAAGGGAAATGGATTCTTAAGTCATATAAAAGAGGAATGAAATCCTGCATCGATCCTCAAAGAGGTTCTGTGGTATTTCCCTGACGCACACAAATCTAGTCTTATGCTCAGATTAGACTTGCTATGGCTTAATACTACGCTTTGATCCTTAAGGTTAGGAATTGACTTGATTGCATTGAAATCTCGACACTAAAATCGACTTTCATCCTCTTCCACTGCTCTGTTTAAGCCCGGAATGAATTTCATGATACGCTTCCTAACGCTCTTAGACTTTCGAGGAAGGATCCCGCAGGAGCTGAGTGTGTCCCATGATGGGGACACAGGTCCACTGCTCGTGCTGCTCATGCTGACACTCCGACTCCTGCTCAGTTGGCTTTTTGGCAATTTGAAAAAGTCGTCTTCCCTGTTGAAGAGGCACTCCTCATCCACACTGCTGCGTCTGATGGGGCTTTCATTGGCCGTGTCGTCAAAAACACAGAGGTTATATTCTCCATCCTCGCTATCATCAGTGCATACGCTGAGCTGGCTCTTGCAGCTACTGTCACTTGAGAACCTCTCCTTGGTCCTTAAGGCTGAGGTGAACACAGAGTCACTGCTATAGAGACGAGATCCTGGAGATTTCGCTGCGCTATTACTCGTCGTCAATCCTGAAACAACAATAAAAACTTATTCCAAAACATTCGGAAAAATTTATTTATTTGCTTGTTGCAAATGGTCTCCTCAATTCCAATGTAAGCTTCGAATAATGTTGAAATATTTAAAAATGAGAGTCGTCAAAAGGGAATGTTAGCCTAATCAGCAAAGCCATCAATCTAAAAACACACACATCTCCCTCAGAAAGACAGCAAAAATAAAAATGTTTTATTAAGTGTCTTTTCGGAGAAGATTGGCATCTCTTTCCGTCAATTAAAACAGCCAATTGAAACATCCTCCAAGTGCACTGGACAACAACAACTTGCATTTATATAGGGTCCTTCACACGGGGTAACTTCCCGGACAGTGGGGGAGTGTGACCCCAAAACAGGGGAGAGGGGGAGGTGACTGTGAGCACGATCAAAATGGAAGTTCCTTAGGCGGGAATTGAACTTGGAGAGGGAGGGGGCAAGGCAGAGGGACTGAGAGAGAGAGAGAGTTCCAGAGTTCTAGAGGACAAAAAAAGCCTCTCAAAATGAGGCATCTGGAGTAAGAGCGGGGGAGTGGGTCTCATTGGTAGTGCTTTCAAAGAGCCGGCACAGGCACAATAGACCAAATGGCCTCTACGATTCTACGATTCCAAATGACAGAAGACTCTGCCAGTATTAAACTTTACAGATTACAGAGCAGCACCCAAGACTTCAAAGATTGCTGGTTCTAATAATAATAATTCTTGCATTTGATACAGCGCCTTATCACATCTTTGATACATCCCAAAGTGCTTCACAGAATATACTGGAAAGTGAATTGACTGTATATTTTGTGAGTGAAAAACACAGCACCCAGACAGAGACAATTCAACTCCCAGTAAGTCATTCAGGGAGCTGGGAGACCTCTCCTTTAAAGAGGTCAAAACATTTTTACAAGTTTTCTGAGGACAATTACATGAGACAGAAATCAAGTATCATTCCCTCTGAAGTGGGCCATTTGACCTATTGCAGGAAAAATCACATTGGTGCACTTGTACCAGTTTTTACATTATGTAGCCAATTTACTAGTCTGGCATGATCATTGCTGAACTCAGATCTAGGAGTACTAACTCTTCATTCACCACCGCTGAGATACTTCAGTTTGATGTAAGCCTAGCACAAACACACACACACTTCTCTGCACAATGGTAGTAATTGCAAAATTTGTTTCTCGCTTACATCTTTTCATTTCCCATCTCTTTAAACTCTTTAAACAAGACCTTACCAATGTGGAAAAAGTTGCTGTGCCATTTCAACATTAGATGTTCAATTTTAGATCATGGTTAAAACATCTTCTGCATTGTGGTTTCCAAACAGGAACTTACCATGAACTAGGCGTTGTTCCTGTAGCATAAGTGATCTGTACTCCACCCATTTATCTTGAAGCGTTTGCTAAGAGGCACAGGAAGATAGAATGTGGGTAAAATACAAGTTATATCCTGCACTTTCTGGAAATCTTTATTGCACTGCATGAAATGAAGGGGCACAGTGCTAAATCTAGTGAAGACACAGAGTGAGATAATATTTTAAGCAACATCACTTTTCCAATAGATGTCCTTGGACATTTTAAGGTGTCTTATTACTTAAATGAAAATAAGTAGCGGTAGGACACAGTTTGATAATCTTGACGGCTTTATTGTGCTTCTATCTGCTCAGTGAAGCTATCAGGAAAAGGTGCAAGTGTCTGTCAGTTGAACCAAACTCACTTCCATTACTGAGAAGGATAATTCCAGCATCCTGCTTTGTTTATTTGAACTCTCAGGTCATATCAGTTTTGACAGTGTGGATGTTCTGCATATCATCGCTTCACCATTCGACTGATGAAGTTTGGATTAAATACCTTTAAATTGTGCAATCTTGCTTCCAGTTCACGTCTCTTGACAGAAACTCTATTGAGAGTCACCAGCCTGTAAATGGAGAGACTTCAATCAGCAGATGGAGCGAACACCATTTAGTGGAGGTTTGTATTAAAACTAAGAGGAAAATAAGGAGAAATACCTTAATCCAAATTAATGTGTGCAGTTTGGATGTCAACCATGATGGGCGTTTTGCCCAAAAACATGAAAAAAATTGTTAAGACTCTTGAGCATTTGAACATGTGTCAAGTGTGAGCAAACAATAGTAAATATATATTCACTGCAGATTTAAGACTACCCAAACTTGTTACTTTGAGGTAATATTGAGCAAGGCCATTCTCCACGTAGAGTCTATTGACAGCGAGTGTCAGTTTGACTATGATGAGACATCACATGCCTAAGCCCAGGGAAGGGAGTTTGCAATAGCAATGGGAGCAGACATGTCATTTTTGTAGAGATTGCTTCAGGAAATGATTGTGCAAAATACATGTAACTGCCCATTGATGCTGATTCTGGGCATATTGAGGTTACTATGTGTGCAGATGACGCACAGTAACCTCAATATGCTCGGAATCAGCAGTTGGGATCAAACTTTGAATAGAATATAAACTCTTAAAGGGGACTTGGGCAGATGTATGATTTAGGTTGCACAATTTATACAGATCAGACTTACGAGACTTTTACTGTATTACAATGTAGGTGTGGATACTTCTTAAGACAATGGTTCAGTGAAATTGTGCGGTGGAAAATACGATCGACACAGTACAAATGTTAATGTGTCACATGGGTATGGTCTCCTAGAGGAACAACCCTCATTCCCTAATTCTCACCTCAAAAAATTGCCAGCCGAACGGACTAGGTTTACAATGTCTCTGTGTCTGAATCCTTTAGTATCCACTCCACTGATGTTAACTAGTATATCACCTGTTTGGTTAAAAGAAAATCAGATTGAGCTCTACCATCTGAAATTGCGGTTTATGCACATTCGTGAGAAAACAGCAAATGAGGCAATCAAAAGAGGAAGTATGGACTTACCCGCCTTCAGCCCTGCAAGATGTGATGGGCTGTTATCGTGTACTTTGCATATGAAGGTGCACATCTCCAGTGCATTTGTGTTTTTGTGGCCCAACCCACAGGTCTGACAGTAAAACACACAAGTACGATTTATTACAAAAAACAACTTGAAGAGCAATTTTATAAAAAAAAGCCAGTATACAATATAACTCTTTGAAATTCTCACCTGAATGTCAAATCCGAAAGATTCATTGTCTTGTTTGTGGAGGATCACGACTCTACTGTTTGGGAGAAAAAATGAATGTGGTTTATTTCTGACATGTTTATTCTATTTGCACAGTAAAAGAAGTAATGAGTGCATGACCCAACTGAATGCAACTCGCTGGAACAATGCTTGCAGTAGATATCTCTACATCCTTCCATTTATTGATATAGACCATAAATTAAATTGCCTAAATTACTAAAGGCAAAATACTGCTGATGCTGGAAATCTGAAATAAAAAAAGAAGTGGCCGGGAACACACAACAGGTCAGGCAGCATCTATGGAGAGAGTTAACCTTCGTCAGAACTTTCATCGACGAAAGGTCATCGGCCTGAAACGTTAACTCCTTTTCCTCTCTCCATAGATGCTGCCTGACCTGCTGAGTGTTCCCAGCGACTTAAATTATGTGAATACCGTAATATAAAGTAGTAAATATTCTTACTTTTCAGAATCTGAATTATCTGCCAAAGAGCTGGATCTGGTCAAAGCAAGCTGTAAAATAAATGATCAACATAACTGCAGCTTAACAACTGAAATCTTGATTAAGTGACAAATAGCCTCTATCAGCCTGGACAGGTGTTATTAATAATAAGAATAGTCATCCTTGTATTTCATAAAGCGCCATTCACATTGGGAGGATGCCATAAATCAAGAAATATTCAATCAAGAAACATTTATTTTCTTAGATCATTACTTGGCTGAACTCTTTATTGACCATTTGATGGATCATTTTGTACAAGTTCATTATAAATCTATTACTGCTTCAGAAATCTTCATTGATTATTGAATAAATTAAAAACAGGAGTACATATAAAGGTTCATTATTTCTAACCATTTCCAACTTCATTCATTTAATACCCACTTGTGTTCAGTACTATACAGGACATATGTTAAAGGTATTCAAAGAAACCATAACCACATACAGCATTCAATAATTACAACTAGGCTGCAATAAAAAAACTTTAAAACAAAACAAAGTTCCTGCATAACACTGTTGTTTTAGAAAACACGATGATACACAGTAATCAAATGAGTTATTACAGCTAACCAACCAATCAACAAACTAACTAACTAACTAACTAACTAACTAACTAACCAACAAACTAACTAACTAACAAAGTGTGTATTTACTGGGCTGGGTTAAGTTTTTACCTTTCTATGGCCACGGGGCAATGTCCCCAATGTGTTAGCAATTAAATTGAGGCGTTTGTTGTCAGTTTGCACAGTGAAAGTCCTGTTGGAGACCTCGACATAAGGATCGTAGTTGGACGACAAAGCATTCACAGCCATGTAATTCGCATTGCCATTGAACTCCACTGCCGCTTGCAAAGCCATGGCTGTTCAGGTCAGGCCAGAATCTCATTGCTGTGCAAGGCAGCTGTTGGTTAGAGTGAAATCAAACTAAGAACTTTAGCTCAATTCAGCACCACCCCTCAGACTCGTAGAGAAGTGTCACAACAGAAATCCTATCACGTGTATATTCAGTCTGGGTGGCAATTTACATAAATCTCTTTTGATCTCTGTTACTGTCTGGCCTGAGAATTTTGCAAAACCAGAAGTCAGAGCGGCGAGACTTAAGGCATCGACTCATTCACTAACCTTTCAATAGCAAGTCAATCAATCCAACTATTATATAACTAGTACACTTTCAATTTAATTGTAAAAGCCAATGTCTCTTTCTTTTAAAAGGGCAGTGTTTAATATACTGTAATATATTTATACAGTGAAATGTGGAATTAACAACAACAACAACAACAAGATTCCATTTATAAAGCGCCTTTCACGTCAGGAGGACGTCCCAAGGCGCTGCACAGTTGGGTCATGACCCGAGCAGGGGGGAAATGGTCAGGGTGAGGGGAGGGAAGGGAGGGAGCAAGGAGGGGGAAATGGTCAGGGTGAGGGGAGGGAAGGGAGGGAGCGAGGAGGGGGTAGAGAGTCGAGAGCGGAGCTGAAGGCTCGGTCAAAGAGAAAGGTTTTGAGACCGGCCTTGAAGGAGGAGAGGGAGGAAGCGGCGAAGGCACTGGGGATGGAGTTCCAGAGCCTCGGGGCTGAGAGGCTGAAGGCCACCGATGGTGGGGCGATTGGGGCGGGGGACGTGGAGCAGACCGGAGCCGGAGGAACGGAGGGTACGGGCAGGTAGGTAGGGGGATAGTAGGTCAGAGAGGTAGGAGGGAGCAAGGCCGTGGATGGCCTTATAGGTGAGGATGAGGATCTTGAAATCAATCAATTGAAATAGTGACTTAAGTTTTGCAAGACAGACAAACTGAAGAGCCCTTTTGTTAGTTGATCAGTTCATGGATATGAACAATTATGCATGAAATGTTTTGCCTCAATAATTTTAAATAAGTAGAAAGGGACATGCTCTCTCACTCTGTGCACCTGTGTCATAATGATATCATTAGTCGATTGCCAGATAACTTTCTGTGGGTAATAACCCCTTCACAAAAAAAAAGCAATTTTAATTTTGTCAATTCAAACAAGGACTGTATGTGGGACACTGCTGTGTGCAATTGGGCTGCCGCATTTCACCCACAAAATATACAGTGAATTTCACTTTACAGTATATTCTGTGAAGTGCTTTGAGACATCTCAATGATGTGATGAGGCCCTATATCAAATCCAAGGATTATTATTATTTATAGGTTTACCTGCAAAGCTATTAGTTATCAGTTTGAAACAACCTTAAATCATGTTTGAGTGAAAACACTTGGTGACATTGCATTGACACTGTTCTGCCCCATGTCAGCTAAGAAAGTGCTTTTCATTCAGTGTGTTACCTCACATTGAGGATGCTGGTTAGGATTTCTCTGAAGCTATTTGGTCTTTATCTTTTACACACTGAACTAAACCCTGTAACAAAATAAATGCATGCAGTTCAGATTCGGCAAGATGTGGGACATTGAACTCTTGTTATTTTACTACGAGAGGTTATTTGTGGCTTTTGTTACTGGAACGGTGTTAAGTTTCTCAGATTTTTTTTGCCAATTCAGATAAGACATACTCTTAAAAACCAAAAAGATGAGTCATGTAATGTGTGTGGTCATTTTCAAAGGGAACTGAAATGACTATGAAACAGGTTCAATTATTGATAAATTTCAGTTTACTAAGCTACTTTTCAAATCCATCCCTTACTTTTCTCGTCTCAGAATACAATTTGAATCGCCACACAACAGGAAGGATAGAGCAGTGATGGAGAGATTACAGTGCAGGTGATGTGATATAGGTGTTGACAAAAACATTCTCTTTTAAGGGATGATCACCCCCCAGAAAGGGATCCGCCAATCGACTGACAACCGGGTTCCCACTTACTGCTACGTAAACGGAGGCGTGTGGAGTAAGGAAACTTGCCCAATGGTTCACCCCTCACGGGAATCGAACCTGGGTCCTCTCACTTGCAAGGCGACCATGCTAACCATTACGCTACAAATCACCCTGTTCTAGTGGGACACTGTTAGAAGGTTGTAGGTTCAAAGCCCACTCTGGGCCAACTTAGTTGATCTTAATTGCAGTATCAGTTGATAAGCTGCAGTTGACCTCAATATCCCTCGGTTATAGAAGACTTAATAAGGTTCCCTAACATAAACTCATCACTCTCCGGAGACCCTTTCTGAAATGCTAAATCAAAAACAATAATTACAGATATGTTAAGCAGTCGGACGAACTAGCCTAGGTTCAGAGCCGTTTTCGGCAATGTTACAACAGATAGCATTTAGGTAATTCACAGTTGGAACAGGTCATGAAACTGGACTAATTTAAGAAAATCCTTAATCATGGGCGACAGTTAGGTAGATATTTTAAAAAGGGAGGGAAAATGGGTATTTTTTTTTCATTAACCCTAACCCTAACCCTAATTCTCGCATCCTATGCAATTTGTATACATTCATTGGAGACTTGGGACAGTATTCTATGCATTATTGCCATCTAGTGGAACAGAGTTAACAGAAGAGACACCATGACTGGAAATCTGCAATAAAAACAGAAAAGTGCTGTTAATTCACAACAGGTCGCTCAGCATCAGAATGAGAAAGACAGGTTAACATTGAATATAAGAACATAAGAATTTGCTAAGACGAAAGAAGACCAAGATCCATCAACTTGCATTCCACCATCCTGGCAGTCGCATGCACATGTCATGTCCCAAACTAAACATTGTATCCCCAGATATTATTTCCTAACAGAAATCTAGCTCATTTGTTCCTGAAAGAATCAACATTTTCTGCTTCTATCGGCAAGTAATTGTGTCTATGACTCGTGCTCAGTGCCCATGATTGATGAAGGCTCCTCCCAAAATAGGAGCTCTCTCTCTTTCAGATGCCAATTGATCTGCTGTGGGTTTGCAGCAGTTTTTGATTGTCGTCTTGCGTGTCCATGTTGTTTACTGCATGATATTTATTCATCATTCACCTCTTGCCTTGGAGAATCCTTTAAACATGTACGGCTTGTTGTGCTGTACCCCGTCAATAGATATTCTGTGGCTGCTATGACTTGGTGTTTGTTCCAAGTACAAACAGTAATGCCGTGAATCCTGATATCCAACCTACATATATACTTGCAGGTAATTCAGGATCATTCAGGATCCATCACTGGTTTAGGCAGGATTAAATGGAGCGCATTATCCAGATCCGTGAAATCAGATACCTGTTAAATGATATCCTGGCCATTTCAGTTTCAAACTACCTTTCTAAATAAAGAGCAGGTTCTGAGTATTATGTTTTTCTCCAGACTGACATAATTTCACTGTTTTGTCAAAGTCTTGCCTGCTGTTTCTAGTACTTTTCTACATTGTGGACTAGAACAGGTAGACTTTAAAGATCTCGAGGCACTATTCGAAAAAAGAAGTGTCCTGGTCAATAAATCCCCCAGATGAAATGGATGGCCAAATTAGCAGCCATTTATGCCTATAAAATACAGTGAGGTGTCCTGTCAAGCATTCTGAAATATCCTCTCAAACATGAAAGGTACTCTCTAAAAATACAACAACAACAACAAGATTCCATTTATAGAGCGCCTTTCACGTCAGGAGGACGTCCCAAGTCGCTGTACAGTTGGGTCAAGACCCGAGCATTGGGGGGAAATGGTCAGGATGAGGGGAGGGAAGGGAGGGAGCGAGGAGGGGGTAGAGAGTCGAGAGCGGAGCTGAAGGCTGAAGGTCAAAGAGAAAGGTCTTGAGACCGGCCTTGAAGGAGGAAAGGGAGGAAGCGGCGAAGGCACTGGGGATGGAGTTCCAGAGCCTCGGGGCTGAGAGGCTGAAGGCCACCGATGGTGGGGCGGTTGGGGCGGGGGATGTGGAGCAGACCGGAGCCAGAGGAACGGAAGGTACGGGCAGGTAGGTAGGGGGATAGTAGGTCAGAGAGGGAGGAGGGAGTGAGGCCGTGAATGGCCTTGTAGGTGAGGATGAGGATCTTGAATTCGATCCTCTGGGGGATGGGGAGCCAGTGGAGGGGGGCGAGGGAGAGGGTGGGAGTGATGTGGTCGCGGTGTCTGGTGTGGGACAGTACACGAGCTGCAGAGTTCTGGATGACCTGCAGTGTGGAGGGAGGTGCCGAGAAGGCCGGCGAGGAGAGAGTTCCCATAGTCCAGCCTTGAGGTGATAAAGGCGTGGACCAGAGTTTCAGCCGCGTGAGGGGTGAGGTAGTGCCGTAGTCTGGCGATATTCTGGAGGTGATGGAAGGCGGTGCCAGTTGTGGCGCAGATATGAGGAAGAAAGGACAGCTCAGGGTCGAACAGAACACCGAGGTTCCTGATGGCTTTGAGAGGTGGAGAGTGCGGCCTTGGATGCTGATGTTGTCAGCGCCTGAGGTGTGGAGGCCCTGACGTGAGCCAATCAGGAGGGCCTCAGTTTTACCCGCGTTGAGCTGAAGAAAGTTGTCTCTCGTCCAGGACTCAATGTCAAACAGGCAGGCTGTCAGGACATCGATCACTTCTGAATCCATATCTTGCATTATCCAATTTAGCGGTCAGCGTTGATGCCAATGGGCTGTCAATCTCCACTATGTTTCTGGAATTTTCCTTCACTTCCATTACCTTGACTCCCTGCTTTTTCTTTCTTTAGTTATTGAACCAGTGCTTGCTGATGGCCTCAATATCCTTTTCACTAATGAAGTGAATAAGAGACACAGAGCATGCTTCAGATATACTGTGTGCCGTTTATTACATTGGCCAAATTATTCGTTCATTTTCAATGTAGTTTGACTCAAACTGTGGGTGCTCAAAATAAGTTATTTACGTCAGCGAAAAGAATAAGTTGGAAGGAATCAGAAGGTAAAATGAGATAGCAAGGGAGGGTAGTAGAGGGAATAGGAGAGTAAGGGGCTATTCATTTCTTAGGTTATAACATGTTTTACATTGAATTCTCATTCCGTTTGAGTCTCTCTATGTACTATTCAGCTAGTTGATTGAGCACTAAATTTAGGACCAATCTAGATTCAA